GCTTCCCTTTTGGAGGCTGCCCTGGAAACCACCCAAAATGCTGGGTTTTTTCCGGGAAGGGAAAAGGCGCTCACACACCCTTTGCTGCCGACATCCCCACACCCCAGTACTGCAATGCGGAGCTGTCTTGGGAGGCGGGGGGGGAGGGCGGACACGGGCGATGCAGCTTGTATTGGGGCTCAATGTGATTTGGGACAGTAAGAGGAAACTCACAGGGCCTCGGCTTTGCCTGGGCTGCAGAAACAGGGCCGTGGGTACCTTCATCCCTGTTGGGCAGCGGGCAGACAACGAATCAGTGGTTGTGGCTTTTTAATTGGTGTAAATCGGGGTGTTTTCGATCACAGAGTGAGTTTTTTTCAAGCCAAGGGGTATCCCAGCTCGTTATTTGATTTATCCCACCTTTCCCCATTGCATTTGTTTGGTTTTGGGGGTGTCCTTCTTTCACAAGAACAAAAATCTTGGGGTACGTCTGCAAACTCCATCCATTCCTGGGATTCTGAGCTACCAGGTAAAGCAAAGCTGGGAGGGACGCGGAGGGGCTGAAAACAGCCTCCCAAATTTAGGACCACATCTTCCCAAAAATGTACATGTCCTATCTCTTGCAAACAGCTTAATCTCACCATCGGTGCCCCTTGGGTGTCACCAATGCGAGCGGGCATGAGAAGGCTGAATCTTCTCTGCCCTGCCCAGCTCCCCAGGCCCCACAAACCAGGCCAGCCTCACCGACTATGTCTGCTCTTTATTGTTCCATATATTTACGTACCACATTATATGTTAAAGATAGATTTGTTGGGGTTTTTTTCTGCTATACATTTTTCATCTTATTTACCACAATGACACCACACATACATTGGAAACAGCTCCACAGATCTGGTAGATTGCACAGAATGAATTGGTTTGTTCCTGTATCCTGAACAATGTCAAATCCAACAATACAGATATATATTTTTTAACTTTTCATAATTTAGAAATGAAATTGTTAAAACAGAATGAAACAAAAGTCACCAAGAAGTGGACTCCAAGATTTCAGCCAGAGGCAAAACATTGTAATTGATGGGAAGCGCCGTTCCTCAATGTGGATTTGGATGGAAGAATTAAGCAGTCCTGACATCCATGTAGCTATGCTGTAAACAGGGCAGGTAACTGGCATTGCTGCTCAGCAGCTGCTGCTTGGGCTTGTTGGGCTGGTTGGACCATCTAGGTCTCACCTACATCCATCTCATACCATGCAGAACGAAGGTCTCTGCTCCCAGCACCCACACTGGTTTACTTTGATCTGTGAGTGCAGTAACCCAATCCCATCGGATCGGCACCTGTGTTTCAGCTCCTGAAACACTGAATTGCATATCTGTAAGTATTGAAAACTGCAGCTGTTTCCCACCAGGTCCTTTGGGGGTGGCCAAGCTTCAGGCAATGAGTGAGGAGATAGGGGTGGGTGATCAGATAATTCCTTCAAAATATCCTAAATAACAAAAAAATATATCTCAATCTTAGCTTATTTAAAAAGACAGAAGGGCAAACACTTTCATAGAATCATAGACTAGTTTGGGTTGGAAAGGACCTTAAGATAATCTAGTTCCAACCCCCCCTGCCGTGGGCAGGGATGCCTCACCCTAGACCATGTTGCCCAAGGCCCTGTCCAAGCTGGCCTTGAACACTGCCAGGGATGGAGCACTTACCATCTGTTCTTATTTCCTTTAATTTGCAGATTCTATAACAGAATTTGTTGGATGCACGTAACGAAAATAATGACTCTTTCCATTAAAGGGATGCAGAATTATTTGGCTATGCAGATGTTCAATGCGATTCTCTTATAGCAACCGACTCTGGCCCCTCTTTAGTCTTCAGTGTTGGTTCTGAAGGCCTCTATGAGGCCTTCCAAAGAGTGGATGAACCCAGAGACGCTGCAGATACCACCTATAACGAAGATGGCAACATCAAAGAAGACATGGTGCCACAAAAGCTTCCTCCACAAGAGTTTGAGGTGGAAAAGACTGGGGAGCAGGAAACAGAGCCCAGCGCCTGTGAGGCTCCCAGTAAGACCCATCAAGAGGGCAAAATGTGGGACATAGATAGCCATGAGCAGGGTGAATACTACCAGGGCACATCTGAGGGTGAGTCCCCAGGATTTTAGCCGCCCGTCACCCCCATAGCAGTTGGGGAAAAATGCCCTGTTTCCATCTTGGAAAAGGGACCGCTCCAGGACTTCCACAGCGGCAAAGAATGGCAAGGGGTATGAGAGCAAGGCTTTGGCCACCAAGAAAATATTGACTACTGCCCTTATGGTGGATGGCAAGTTGTCTGTAATGACTTCCTTGGTCTCATCAGCCCAGGTCAGATAGGCAACCAAGGCAAAGAGTCCCTTAAGGATACAAGCTGCTATGTGAGTCCAGTTCATCATGCAGTGAAACTCCTTGGGGTTCTGCATGTTCCCCTCCAAGGAAGGCAGAAATATCTGAGAGGTGTAGCTGAAGACAATAATGCCAATGGAGATGGGAAACTTCTTTACATCAATGTAAAACTTGACTTTGTCCCAGGCCCAGTCGCGTGCCCTGGAGAGGCAGTAGGCAATCACCAAGATGTTGATCACAAAGTGGGCCAATGTGCAGAGCAAGCTGAACTTGGAGACTGCCTTGAGGTTCTTCAAGAATGCACAAGGCAGGAGCACTGCTGTGGCAATGATGGACCATGACTTCTGGGAGACCGGCAGATTAGGGAAGCTGTTGTACATCAGGTTCCCACTGACCACCACATAAAGGATGCAGGTCATGACCAGTTCAATGATCTGAGCCACGTTTACAATCCTGCCTCCAAGGGTAGGGAAGCGGGGTGCACAGCATGCGTTTGCTATGTCCACGTAGGAGTCTCTCACCCTGACTATCTCCCCATCCTCATTCTCTTCATAAAGACAGGCAATAAGGATTTTCCCTGTGTAGCAGCAAACCACTGCAGCGAAAATGATCAGAAAGAGTCCCAGGTATCCGCCATGAAGGATGGCATAGGGTAGGCCCAGCACAAACATCCCCTAAAAAGAGACAAAATGGAAACCGTGTTGCTCGTCTCGCGGAGCGCATCAGGCACACGCAGTCGCACAGTTGCAGTCACACGCACCATCACTGTCTGGCTTCACCATCGCACCCACGCAGCTGGTCACACAGTCACGCCATGCACTGACAGCCACACACCATTGCAGACCACCCTTCTCTCTGATGTAGCACCAGCACAGTCCCACCTGCACAGTCCCACCCTGGAGCACATTTTTGGCACCTTGGCTTCACCCCAATCCCAGTCTCTACCCTCTCCGTGCACCAAGAGCCCAAAGCCAGGGACTCCCAGAGGGGCCAGACATGGGCCCACCCCTGCGCAGTCCCACACCCACCTGGGGTCCCCCCCGTGCTGGGGCACGCCTGCGGTGGAGACAGGGCTTGGGGCTGTGTGTCCCCTCACTGGCTCTGTGCTCCATTCCAGGGTGGGGGACAAAGCAGAGATCCGGGGTTGGGGTTTTCCCTTTCCTTTTGTATATCTTTTTACCCCCCTTCCTTCCCCCCCCAATTTTTTTTTCCTTCTTTTCCCTCTGGCAGGTTTGCCATCAGCCCGGGGGAGGCGGGGGGGAGGAAAGGGGAAGGGGAGGGCAGAAGCGGGACC